AGTTATTAAAATCAAATTTTGATTGTAAATATTCTAAAATTGTCTGAATAAAAATATCTGCATTATTTAAATATGTATTAATTAGAGTATTATTTGAACATTTTAATATAATATTTTTAGCAATAGCGCCATAAAATTTATTTTCAATTTTTAAATATAGAGATGAACAGAGCTGTAGCATAATTTTGTGAATCATTTTTAATAAAGAATATTCTGATTGCAACTGAATATTAACTGCATGCAGTAGATTTCCTACATGTGAAAAGAATCCCAAATATACTTCTGCCATTTCATATTAGAAAATTTTTTTCAAATTTTAGGACAGCCTTTAAAATCTTTATTTAGGAAGTATTTTTTTAAGGGTTTGTAAAATTTTAAAATTCTATCGATGGCAGGTATTAATGACAACCACCTGATAGGTATATATCGCAACAACTCACACCATTCCAAGTCAGACCACTTCACCAACTCTTTTAATTCATTAACTCTTTTAGTTGAACTAAATTCGTTAAAATATTTCATCACAATTATTTCGACATCCACAGACAGTACATTCATTGCCTTCTTGCAAGAACTATGTAGTATATATGGCATATACAGCCAATTGGTAATAATTCATTTGTGCTGCCTCAATTCGGTAACTTTAGTTTTGGCCCAAATTTACAGAGGCATTATCAGCGCAGAAAGCTGGCATGCAAATCATTGATAACCTTGAATCAGCTATATTTACCCTTATGTGGCTAGCTACATCGTTGGATTTTTCACTATTTGAGGACTTTTTTTTAACAGTTTTATTGAAATGTTCTTATTCTTGTTGAAATTGCAAAGGATCGAGGGAAATGTTTTAATATTTCCATTATTAGATACATTTGTTAGAATTGCATATGGATGCCCATCTTTCAAATCGTCTAGAATTGACCTCTAGGATTCAGGTACCAAAACATTGTGATAGCCTTGCTCATTTTTATTGCCACAAGTAAGGTTTGCAGTTATATTGGAGTCGTTAAATATCATGAGAAAAAGATTCTACCCACATTGTAATGATATATATAGAGCTCTGTGAATATTGAACTACATAATAGATGTATACGATTTCCGCAAATATAGTTTCATTTTGAGAATATTTTTGTATTGCAATCGATGTTGATATACTCCCCTGTACTGACTAATATTAATGAAATAATGTTGATTTATTATTGGATAAAAATAAAACAGGATAGAAAGAAATTTACAAACTAGACATGTTTTGAAATAATGTTGATTTATTATTGGATAAAAATAAAACAGGATAGAAAGAAATTTACAAACTAGACATGTTTTTCGAATAAATATTTAAAATTTAATTTAAAAATATAAAAATAATCAATTAATGTCTCAAAATTATTATTTACATATTAAAAACGTTTAAAATACTTTTTTTTAAAAACCGCGGGAGAAATTAAATTGCGGTAGATTTTTGCGGGAGATTTCCAATTGCCGTAGTTTTGCGGGAGAGAGATATTTGCGTGTAAACTAAAAAATTGCGGGAGTCCCGCTGATGGGGAGAGACATGGCAACCCTGTTCATACTTAAAGGTTGCTACTGTCTATTTCTCTTATTAAAATTAGTTTTTGTTTATTGACTAGAAAAACGGATTGATGGAATAGTAAGTACTAATCTGGCATTTCTATGGTATGAGCTCACCCAAAAATATTTGTTTTTTTTCGCATGTTGCCAATCGTGGCAATTTTATCTTATTTTGTCGAAAAACTATCTAATGAATTGAATAATCAATGTAATAAATTTCAATTATTGATTTAAGTTCCAGATTAAATGCTTCCAGAAATTTGGTTGGTTTTACGCTTTAATGGGAGATATAGATTTTATTTCTCTTATAGTACGATTACCTTTTTGTGTGTGAAAAAAATGACTGAAGAATTAATAAATATTAGCGCAAACCAGCTATTTTCCATTCTATCAATAATGCCAAATTAGGCAATTTTTCTTATTTTGCTAATAAACTTTTTCTTTATACTGTCTCTTAAACGAATTAAATTATAATTAATTCGGAACATCGATAAAATTTTCTGAATAAATTATTTCCGTCGCTTAAATCATAGATTTGCCAAAATTTTGTTACTAATAGTTTATTCCTTTTACGAGCTACTATACTCGTTTAAATACTCAATTGGTACAAATAAAGCAAGAAATAATGATATAATTTACAATTAGTTCGTAGAACTATTCAGCCGCCAAATTTAACGGCGCTGATATTAAAATATATAAATCTTGTTTATTCCTCTGTGATACACAAGTTGAAGCATATAAAGAAGTTACTCAGAATTATCAAACTATTATGGTAATTATAGATATAAATAGCTTAAACCTTTGATTTTGAATGATACGATTAAGTTAGAATATTTAGAAAGAATTAAATAAAAATGTAAATATAAGCCTAAAAAATATCTAAAAATTTATTTTTAATTCTACATTCAAATGCTGGCTCAGAAATGAGTTTAATGAATATGATTAGGCGAAAAAATTTTTCTTCCGTCTCATTTGATTTATTAGAGGCCGAATTAATGATAAAGCAGAATTTTGACATGAATTGCGAAGAGTTAAAATTTATTTCATATATAATAAACTTTTAAATAAAATAAATTCCTTCCGATAAATATGTAGATTTGGATCTAATTTTTATATATTTTGACTTTATATTCAAATTCAAAATTTGTAAATTATAATTTGAAAAAAATTATTCACCAATATTAATATATAAAAGGATTGCAGTTGTGGCGCTTTCCCGCTTTTTATCCTTTAGTCATTAAAAATCCCACCTCACTCTTAGAATATGGGAGGTATGGCCGGGCCTAAAAATTTTTGCAATTTACAAAATGAATGAGAAAATTGAATAATACACCTATTTAATATAATTAAAATATAGCCACTTTTTATAATTATTTTTTATTATCCTTCATTTATAAATTCCTCTCAAAATTTAGAAAATGTTTTTATCAACCCCCCCCCCCCCCCCCACCCTTGTCGTGGTAAAATATGTAAAAGTAAATAAATAAACACTTAACCCATTTTGCCCTGATTTCCCGATATTGGAATATCTTTATTTTCTTGATTTGGATTTTCTATTTATTTTCAAAAAACCCTGATTTTTTTAATTCCATTTTTATTAGAAAAAATGAGTAAAAGTGCTTACAAATTGAGTAGAAGCGTTTAGCGATGTTTTCACAAATACGCTATATTGAACTGGTATTATTTTAAAAAATGATGAAAACTATTTTACGTTTTTTAATTTTTTTTTTATATTGTTTAGTTTGACTTGTGAAATCAGCAAAAAAACTAAAATAATTGAAGATCTAATGATTTATTTCCAAAATTTATTCTTCATAAATATTACAAATTTATGTAATCTAGAATATTTTGAATTTTTTTTTTGATAAATCATAACTTTGCAGTTATTTCTATTTATTAAAATGCGAATAGAAGAAAAAGGAAAGGTCATAATATTCAAATGAATTAGTTACTATTATATCAAAGTCATATCGATGTGCATTATCTCAAAATTGTAATTAGGAGGCATTAATTATCAGTAAAATTTTCTATAATTAAAATAATCTGAGAAAATCAATAAAAAATTCTTAGCTTTCAGTATATTTTTTTTATCTAGATTAGAAATAAAGTATTACTTTAAATGACATAAAGCACACTTTTAAATTTTATGTTGGGGGGGGGTTAACTTATTCTGCTAAAAACTTAACCCAAAATGTCCGCTCCATACTTACAACCATGAGTGAGTGAGACCAGGAAGACTAATATATTTTCTATCACATCAGATAGAGGTTACATGCTTATTAAATAAACAATACGTAATAAAATATTCTTAAAACATTAGCGTTTATGATTTAAGAAACTTCAGTTGGTAAATTGATATTGAATATATCGATTTCACTTAAAATGAATTCACAATTTTCGCGGTCATGCGCTCGTTATAATAATTTCGCGCAAATACATTCGCGGTAGAAAATTCGCTATAAATGGTTCGCGATTAAAGTTTCGCTATAACGAGTTCGCGATCAAAGTTTCGCTAAAATGTATTCGCGGTTTAGGTTTCGCGGAAATAAATTCACGATAATGAGTTCGCGATCAAAGTTTCGCCAAAATGTATTCGCTATAAAGTATTCGCGGTTAAAGTTTCGCGAAAATAAATTCGCTATAAAGAGTTCGCGATAAAAGTTTCGCTAAAACGTATTCGCTATAAAGTATTCGCGGTTACGGTTTCGCGGAAATAAATTCGCTATAACGAGTTCGCGATCAAAGTTTCGCTATAATGTATTCGCTATAAAGTATTCGCGGTCATGGTTTCGCGGAAATAAATTCGCGATAATAAGTTCGCGATATTGTCTTCGCTATAAAAGTTTCGCGGAAAAATTCGCGGAATTGGTTTCGCGATATTGCCTTCGCTATAAAATTCCTTCGCGATAAACGACATTCGCGATAAAAGTTTCGCGAAAAAGTGTTTCGCGATAAAAGTTTCGCTGAATTGACCTGATACGGTAATTTAACACTATTGAAATCAGAGCTAATAACGTTAATATTTTTTAAGAGATAAATATCTTATATAATATTTCAGAAATATCACATACCTTTTTAACTAATTCGCTACTATTTTAAAAATTGTATCATATATTTTTATTATCATCGCATTGCAACATATGTTTTTCAATTTTTTCATATCTATAAACATCATAACTCTCCATATTTATTAGCTTGATTTTGTAAATAACCCTGCATTATATAACGCACCGCTAAAACATAACGCGTTTACTATAAATTCGCCCTTAGTTAAAATTTAGGAAACTAATGAAGCAATCTCAATTTAAACAACGAATGCGTTTCGTTTTTTTATTAAAAAAGTCCGGAAAAACTCAAAAGGTCAATTTGTGCGCACTCTAATGTCCTGTGAGAGAGGAAATCATAAGTTTAGAAAGTAGATAAAAATATATTACTTAAAGACGTATGACTGGTAATGAATTTCACATCTTCCCAATATCGGTGAGGGTCCTCGAAGTCTCGAAAGAAATCGTAATGCTTGTGGGGGAAAAAAGTTGTACCCGTTTCGTTGTCCCCTTTGCTGGAACATACTTTTTTTGAAGATTTAAATGGTTCTTTAATGGTAAAATGGCCGGGAAGGGACATCCGAGTGTCAATCAGTGTAGCGCATGGATAGGGTTGCACGAGGAACTGTAGAATACAATTCATTATAAAATTAACTATAGATTTTTTATTTTCTTTATTTCTTTTATTTCCTTTAGGTTAACAACATATTATTTATTTTTTAAAAAAATGAACATTTCTTAGTGATTTTTTTTTATTCTAAAATTATTTTCAAAATTAGCTTTTTACATTTCTGGTAGATAAATAAATAAATTTATTCAAAGATTGAAAGGCTTTTGATAAAAAAAAAATCATTTTCAAAAAAGAGAAATTTTAAAATAATTTTAAAAAAAATCATATAATCTTTTTGGAGTTATTTCGTTTAAAAAAGGGGACACGTCAATCTGCTTTTTACAAAGGAAAATTCTTTATTTCTTAATTAAATTAGCGCTATAAAACAGCCTTGGACATAGGGGTTGTTTAAGCAATGCGTCATTTTTTGTTTCAAATTGTTAGATTTAAAAAAAATAGTTTAATTTTACTTTACTGTATATCCGGCCACTTTTATCCAATTCTACCAAGCCTATAGTCACCAAACATAAAATACAGTCCACTACATTCCGAAGGTATTTGCGCCTCACAAATAACTTTAAAAAAAATAATAAATCCGTGCATAATAATGATTGTTATGTTATATAAACATCCTGATACTTTTGATAATTATGTACCTGTATTATACTGCATTCATAGTTAGCGCGAATTCAGGGCGAAGAATACAAAAATAGGGTTATTACAGATACATTCATTCTTAAGTGTCGGTATAAAAAATATCAGTTTGAAATGCTATAGAAAATAATAAATCTTCAAAAAATTTTGATCTCTCAAGATTTTTTTTGAGAATGCTCAAACAGGATAAATTCATTTTGTTTTATGATATTTAAATAAAAAATACCTGTTCCTGAATTTTGGTAGGAAGATGAGACACAAGATAATGTTTTTTATCTTTATCACAAAAATAGTTTTCTAAGCCGTCCACTTTCCACGATATGAAAACTGTGGCGATGAACAATGACAGGGGCATGTAATCGACAACAGTTTGAATGTCCATTTTCTCTAAAATGAGAGTAACGTGCATTTTAATTTAGTGTTTTTTATATTATATATGGCGCATTCCGTGGGACAAATCAGTCAACGGTCTGACCCTCCAAATTTCCATTTATGAAAAATAATTTTATATAATCTACCATTTTAGCTATCAAATTTTGTCAGAACTTGGAGTTATGGGGCAGCTAAAGTACGAAAAAATTGGCAAATTTTTGCGAAAAATTAAACGTTGGAAATTGACAAACAACCTAAAAGATATTTATTATTTCCATTTTTAAAAAAAAATTCGTCAAAATATATTCTGAATTTTTTAAAAAAAATGTAACTAATCAACTGGTTCTAAATTTACGGTTGTCCAAGGAAGACAAAAATGGGTAAAAATTTGGTATCATCATTTAGTAGCCCCCCCTCTTGACTTTAAAATGTTCATTTTCCCACCTTAATTTTTCCTGACATTGCTAATTAACAATGATGACAATTAATGCATTTTTTGCGTTCCTGATATATTCTTTATATTTACAAATTACTCGAAAACTATATGCGTCATCTCGAGACCGTGCTCTAAGGTAAATAAAGGGTCATGTGAATTAAGATGAGGGATTATTTTATCATTTTTTTTAAAACAAAAGAAATATTCAATACCCATTTCGGCGATTCTAGATTTGGGTTTATAGGCCTTGAAAGGAATGTACTTTCTCCACGGGTATAAATTATTGTCACCAGAATAATATATTTTAGGCTCTTTGACGGGTTGTAATGGCGATATGTGATCTTGTAAAAGTTCGATTTGATTTAGGTATAGCAAATATTGATGAAGAAAACCGCAACGTATCATTCTAGGTTCCCTCCCGTAGTATAGATCTGATAACGTGTCATTTGTTATTTTTTTAAAAAAAGAGTAGAATGTATTAAAAAGATTAAATAGTGGAAAATTTATGAAATACTTTATAATTTTTAGTTCGCGGTTTGTTTTACAAATATGAAAACATTCTATCGTTTTTTTGGTAGGGGAGTGGGGGGGGGGTGATCTTAAATACCATTATTAAATCAAATACAACACCCTTTTACAGAAAAAAGGAACCCCCTTTCATTTATAAGCAATGTCTATATCTAGTCTTTAGTTCTTTATCTTTCTTTCACTCTTTTCTTTCGAACTAAATTATAAATTATTAAGCTAAATACAAATCAAAAGGGTTTAACTTGTAGGTTCCACCTGGATTTTAGAGGTCGGATTCAATATAATCTCGTTAACGCCTCGCAAAATTCTTGCATTTTTGTCGTATGTTAAAATCTTCTCATTGAAATGTTGGATAGATGCGTTAATCTTTTAATTTAAAATGGTAATAAATGAAGTAATGTATAAATATGATTAATCAAATAAAGGAAATTGAATATGAATACCAAGACTTAATATAAAATGTTATTATACATAAATGCCTTAATGTTTGAGCTGGTGAAATGTAAACATCAACTAATTCCATTTTCCTACTTGTTAAAAATAATCTAATATCATAAAAAAAACATTTTTTAAAAAAAAGCCAATAATTTTTACAAAGATTAAATTAATAAAATTATTTTATTTTTTTATAAAACCAAAACGATAAATGAAGATATCAAAAATTTTTTAGTGAAAATGATAAATTTGCAAAAAAATATTGGTAGATTATATTTTCCATGGGACTGTGTTAGAAATATAAAAAAATTTAAACTGAAAAAAAAATGTTTATTTTCCATCCCTACCTTTAAGTAAATGGTTCGAAAAAGACTTTTTTAAATAGATAATGTTTTATTTTTTTTCAAACTTCGATATTTTCGTGTATAAGGTTCTGTTCTCCGCCATCTTTAAGTCTCTTATCAGTGGCTTGGCTCAAAAATAACAACTTGATCTCGCTCGTGTACCGAACGATCAAGGGGTCATCTAGTGGTACACTTGCGTCACATACTATGGTGGTTTGCAGCTGTTTTAAATTAAAAATTTATGGATAGATTAAATTAAATATAATTTTAATAATCGTCTTTCTCTCTTTTTTTAAATATCAGGCATAAAATTTTTTTTAAAAATACCCGGGCCAGGCCACCGAATATCTTAAATGACCATTATTATCTATAAAAAAATAAAAATAAATGAAATATATCATAAAAAAATCGGGCCGGGTCGAAAGTTTTTTTTAAAAAAAATCCGGGCCGTTCATATGGTACTTCTGCATGTCTGGCATTTTTATAAATAATATTCAAAATTAAATACATCATTGTTGGATGATAAGGCGAGTTTTATCAATTTGACAATTTTGAATTCGGCCAATTTAGACACCAACTTGTAGAGCGTTTTAAGGCACATCTTAAAAGCTATATTGTTTTGACTTTCCTTGTCTCGCAAATGTGATGCCAGACAATATTGCGAACCAATAACTCTGAATTTCCGGTTCCAGTATAAAATCCAAATACAGATTATTAAAAAAAATAATATAATTAATTTTAAATAATCGACATTTATTAATAAGAATATGCCAAAACCCCGTTATAAAATATAATCCCAGAAAAAGAAAAGGTTACAATGAGTTCTTTAATATTGTAATGGGATCTCTCAACAATGGAATACAAAAATCTTTTCTCGTTAATCAGTTTTGAAATGATAAATAATTTAATTAAACCCACTTCTTCTATTTCGAATGGTATAATTATAAAGAGCAAAATTAATCGATTCGTTCAAAATAATCAAACATGAATAATTAACGATTCAGATAGCAATTAGTTTTTGAATAGCCCTAGTTGATATGCATACAACCTTCTATGAAAATTTTTAAAAAAAATCAGAAGAGTCAAATTGAGATGGATTTTTTTTTAAAGATGACTTCGGATGGAAAATTTACTCAAACATTATATGGTAGCTTATAAAAGGGACCATGTTTATCTGTTACATTAAATGGATTTTTTCTTCCCCTATTCCCCATTTATCAAAAATAAGTTTTAGTGGCGGTTCCTATGATAGTGAAATAGGTGCGCGACATGCCTAAAAAATATTTTGTATCAATATGCTTTGGTAAGAGAGAGCGAGAAAAAAAACGCCAACGGCATAAGATCATGATAATATTTAAACCGGTGAGTGTGGATATATTGAGATAATTCTAGGAGGCGGTTGAGCGAAAGTGCGGTATAAATCATTTTTTCTTTATCCTGCTTAAAGAGTCGTAATCCTTCCTCGTTATTCGTAGATTTGAAAAAATTTATGAAATCTGTTTCCGCTTTGTTAAATCTTAAAAAAGTAATTTAGAAAAGAAATATCAGATAAAACCTCGAAGCTATTATTTTTGTTTTTTTTAAAAAAATGCCAAACAAATCAATGCTTATATATTGTATTCTTCCATATCACCATTAAAAATGTTAAAATATCATTCAAATGATGCCATCTCCTAACTAAAATATAAGATAATTTATTTTTAGTAAGGCTGTGCCGATCCATTTATCTTTCACCGATCCTATCCGATATTAGTTCAAAACCGATCCGATGTTTATATTGATTTTTCACCACCCCATTTGAACTAAATGTAATTAAGAAATCAATATTTTTTATGCAAAAAATCGAATTATAAATTTAATTTAATTTTCTTATTTCTACAATAATTAAAAAAAAGTTTACGGATATTGGTAGTATTAAATGAATTTTTTATTATTCCTACCCGTGAAATTAGAATTCCGCAGTAAAGCATTTTACAAAATTATCTTTGTCTTTTGTAAAATATTTACATAATTCAGATACCATATTTAAAAAATTCTTTTATTTAAAGTATAAATAATAAAATTGGCGTTATTATTTAAAAAGATTTAAAATAAATAAAACTTTAGGTGTTCCTTTCTCTTTTTATAAAAAACTTTTAAATTACTATAAATCTATTTAAAAAAATAAATAAAATTTTGGGGGTATTGTGCATTGGCATTGTTTAAAAAAAATTATTTAGAAAATATTAATAATGTAAAATAAATACACATAAAACAACAAAAAAAAAAGAAAAGTAAAAAGATCGGATCGGATTTTCTACAGGTATCGGATCCGATCCGTTATTTAATATCGGCACAGCCCTAATTTTTAGAAAAACTCTCCAGAAAAATTTTGAAAAATGGATATAGAACAATATAATACTCAGCCGACGAAATAAGTAAACCAGTTTTCAAAAAAAAAAAACTTTCGAGTAGGGCTGTATCGATATTAAATATCGGTATTGGATCGGAACGATACCGATTTTATGCATATTTTTATTTTTATTACACATATCTTATTTTCTTTTTTTGTCACATTTTTTTAAATTTATTTTTGAATTAATTTCCCTTTCTCGTAATAAAAATCTTCATAATTTCTATAAAAGTGTTTTATATAATAAAATGTTCAGGCAGTGTCCTAGGTCGGCTTAAAACTAAATAGCCAAAAAGGCAAAAGAAATTTTTTTTTAAAAAAAAGACGAAAAATAACAATACCACCTAATACTTAAAACAAACCAAAATAGTCCTAATTCAAAAACCTTTTAGCCAATAAAAAGAAATTAAGTATCCAAATTAAGCAGACCCAGGACAAAATCTTAATGTTTTTTTAACATTTTTATTAACGATAGAAGAAGTAAAATATATTAATAAATTAATATAAAAGAAAATATACCCCAAAAATTGTGTATTCTTATTTGTTTATTGTTTATTCCAATGTTTTTTTATTACGAAAGAACTTATTAAATAAAATATCTTGCGAATTTTAAATTTAATTAATTTACAAAAATATCGATATTTTATCTCCCATCGATCCTATTGATTATTGGTGGGTTAATGCTCAAAGGTTTCCAACTTTGGCATACTTTACATCTAAGTATTTTGCATCTCCTGCAAGGTGTTCTATCGGAATTAGTCTTCAATACAGCTGGTGATATAGATATTGTTAAACGGCTCGATTTAAGCCTATATTTAAAAAGGGCTATCTCATAATTCTAGCCAAAAAAACATTGCCTAGGCCTCGAGCTAATTAATGTCCAAACCTATGCGTCATCTATAACCAACCAAAATCTTCAAGTTGCATAATATTTTTCTGAATAAAATATTGAGTTATCCGTTTTCAAATTAGGCTCAAATCGAGCCGCTTAATAGTACTGGATATAGATATTATCACATAAACTAGAGGCTTTCATCTTTATAAAGAAAAATATCCAATAATATAATTTTAATTATTTAATATTCCATTATTACATTATTCGATATTGATATTTTAATTTTAATTATTTAATATTCCATTATTACATTATTCGATATTGATATTTTAATTTGTATTCAATTTTTATTCATACATAGTTTGTTACACAGAAAATTTAATATGAAGTTATATAATGTGCTAGCACATAAATTTATATTGATTTGCATTAAGGCTAAATGAAAATTTTGATCATTGTTTAAAAAAAATAATATGGAACTATATGAATAATTATTTTCTATGGGATAAGACATTATATCTTATAAATAAGAACCTTTCTAAAAATTTAATGACATATTTTTACAATTTTAAACTTTTACTATTTTTTATTTTTTAAATTTTAAGATCCGAGAAAAGTAAATCTTCTGATTAAAACGATTTATAAAAAACCATTATTTTATAAAAAATCAATGTTAATATCATCGGTGCCGTTTGAAATAAATATCGGATCGGATTGGTGAAAAAAATGTGGATCGGTGCAGCCCAATTTTGGAAGTATAAGGTGATATGCTAAAAAAAATTCGAACTAATAATTTAAAAGGTAAAATGTAATAAATAAAATGTTCGACAAGATAATAGCCATAATCCTGCTTAATTTACAAAAAGTGAGCAATTATAAAACGAGAGTTGAGATGAGCATGAACGTGAGGGAATATATTCAAACTTTATTTATTATAAATTTCTTTTTAAGGATATCCTTATTAATCTGGTAAATTTAATACTCATGTACACACAAAAAAATCGTTGAAGGGGATCTTAAAATGACTCAGAGAATGATTTGGACTATCATCTTACTTATTAATACCAAAGGAAAATAATGTAAGATAAGGATTTCAGTATATATCATAAATATCTAAGTGAAAAAAAATCAGTATCATGCCAGTTTTAGGTCACGTCTGTGACTATCAGATAGGTATCGGTCAAAAAAAAGTGACTAACTTTAACTGTTTTAATTTTTTTTAAATAAAATTAATCAAGGCAAGACCTTAATAGTTTTGTATATAAGCTATTTAATGCACTACAAACCCTCGTACTCGAACCGAACCTGAACATAGATACTGGGTTTATTAACCTTTATTTACTTATCGAATCTGAACAGTTATAAATTTTGTCATCTGAACCTCTGAAAAGGTCCGTGAATAGAGGTGAACACTTATAAGATACTCTTCAAAATTCATGATAAAATTTCACCTAGAATCCAAAAACATTTTTTTAAAAAAAATCTATTATAAACAATCTTTTGTGATTTTTATGCATAACATATGTTCCATTTTAAAGCATCAAAAGTATCGGATACAGATATTGCACCTCAGAAATAAGGCGAACGAGTGAGTGGCAAAAGTAAACTAATCGTGCGATTTACTTTTCAACTCATTTTTTTATAGCAACCAAACCCATTTTTACTTGAAACAAAATTAAATTATATGTAAATAAAATTGTGCGATCTTAATTTCTCGCTAAGAAATAGCTTTAAGGTTATATTATTTCATTAAAATGATAAAGATGCTTTCGATAAATGTATTTATGCACAAAAAATATAAATAAAATGGCGGCTAAATGAGGGGTGCAAAAGAAGATATAAATGGGGAATAAATTAAAATGAACGTAATAATAACTCGGGTAATGGATTATTTTTTGCATCGATTGACATATTCGAGGGCACATATCGTTTAACCATTTGTCTGCCTTCGCTAGTCGTGATACCCTTGATAATAGAAAGTCTTCCCAATATTTTGACGAAATGTCGCGATTCCAAGGCATCCAAGCCTAGATCTTGCCGTAAATCTATTTCTTTAACCCCTAAGCCCCCATTGATTAAGCTTGTCTGCACTATGTAACTTGTATATGTGTGTGAGTGTTTGTGTTAGGAGTAACAATAAATTATTTTTACAAAAAAAGCCATAATTATACTAGCTCAAACTTCCTGTAATATTATGATTATATAACTTTATGTACATTTTTTTTGTATCTACCCTCATTTTTTTCGTTATATTAATACCAGGGGTCTCAATTTTATAAGCTTTGTAAGATCGAATTCAAGAGAGGCAAAAAACAATTTAATTTTTCTTTAGCTAATTTACAAAGTCTTAATCAAAATAGATATGCCTGGAAGAAGTTTGGAGATGGATCTATCATAACAATTAAAAATAAAATGTCTATTTGTAGGAAAAAGTTTCGTTTACTTTGTGTGGGAAGATGTATTGTCTACGTTATATTTTAAAATCTAAAAGTTTGTAATATTGCTTAAATTCTTTAAAATAAATTAAAGATCTAAAACAAAACAAAATGGCCTTAATTAATAAATGATAAAATATTATCCTGTATATGTATAATTATATTGAGATATTAACATTAACAAATCTTATTTTATTTAAATTGTGATTTAAAAATAAAATTTTGAAAGATAAAAAAAAATGTGTTTTGTTGATACCCGTGATTAAAATCAAAAGATTAGGGAAGATCTGTAGATTGAAGCGATTTAATAATTGTTTTCTTAATCTAATTGTCCCTTAAACATGTATCCAAACTATCAGATAATTAGATTAATATCAATTAATAGTAAAAATATGCCATTTAATTTTAATGAAATAAGGCGCATGCAAAGGTCAGGTAGCAAGCTAATAAACAGGAAGCTTCAGTTAAGGTGGAGTGGGTGAGAGGGGGTGGGCAAAGTTTTTTTGGAGGAAATATTTTTTAGAGGGAATATTTTATACCAGCAAATAATAACAAATTTACGATAAAAGTTTAGTGGGCCAAAATTTTTGAAGCCTTTACAGTAATACTCATTTGTATTATTAATCAACATTCACATTAATGCAGTTTGTAAAAAAAGTATCATGGTATTGGTAAATTTTTAACCCACACTCTATATATTCGATATATTTTATTTTACCCAAAAAATATCAAACAGTTTTAACCAGAATCATAAATTTGTGTTTTAACAAAAAATGAAGATATAATAAACTATAAGTCAACATTTTTAATTGGCTAACCTGTATGCTTGTGCCATCATTGGAGTTTTGATGTGCAAATAATGTCGCATGCAATTTATATTTTCCATGTTTTCTAAACTTTTTTGTCTTTTAAAAAAGACTTTGTTGATTTTGCTATTTTCAGATATTACACTATCGTCATGAGAACTAGTCCCAGCAGAATTATCTTTTTCAGAAATTTCATCAAAATCTTGGTCATATGTAGAATTTAATTTCAAAAGAAGTTTGTTTGATCTGGGGGGAGGATGAGGATTGATGTTTATAAACTTGGGCAGTTCTGAAAGGGCCTTTTCATAATTCAATAAATGGACCATGATGAATGGTCTACGATTAAGTTTCTATTTGTTTTTTATATATATTATTTGAATATAGACAGACTCAATATATAATTATTATTTTATGTAAAATATAAAATAATAATTTAACTTTTTGTGAGTACTGAAAGGATATAACATCTTGGCCAAGTTTTTTTAATATTTTGATATTTTCTTCCTATAATCATCAAATTATATTAATATTTTATACTACATTTATACCCTCATTTTAAACTTTGTCACAAGTTTAGATCTTAGACATGTTTTCTCATAACAATTATTCAGATATTCAATGATTTCCTTATACTTAGTTTTATGTTTATATATTTTATACCTAAAAAACATTAAAAATAAATTTCCAATAAAATATACCTCTTCAAATGAAAAAGTGTATAAGAATTAACACCATGATGCATATTTGCATCAATACGTTGATTATTTAATAAATTATATTTTTTTAAATATTTTTGTATATAATAAGATGATTTCTTATGATTAATTTTAAAATTTTCAAAACTGTAGGATCCACATGAAGGAAAACCTGTATCTCTCATTTTGGCTATTGCTTCCAACATACAATATGCTTCATCTGTTATTATTTCAAAATTGGTAAAATATGGCCCAAATAAAATTCTATAACGTATATTCTGAGTAGCTACTATAATTAAACTGTCTTGTTTTTCATCGATATAATTTTTAAGAGAAGAAATATTAAATTTCCTAATTATATTGGAAACATTTGTTCTAACATCCATATCAGAACAAGATCCTTTGTTGAATTGATTTTTCACAATGTTAAAGTCAAAAAATTTATTTTCTATATTAACTGCAGTAAACTCATCACTGTTTGGTATTAAAATTGTTGATTTTTGATAAGGTAATATATAAAACTCTACATTATTATTATTAACTAATAAATTTATTAATTTGTATTGAAGGTCTTCAGGAGGATTGATTGATTCAAATCTACAATGTAATCTATGCACCAGAGAATTTAAGGTTATACCTTCTAGCCCTTCTAAAGCAACTTCTTCGATAGCTACTTTCAATATTTCCATCTGAAGTTTTTTAAAATTTCAAGCATATTGAAACCAGCTTTAAAAATTGAGTGACAGATACAAACAATCACTGGCAACTTATATCTTACATTGATGATTATAAAAAGTGTAAATTGGTTAAGTATAATTAATTATGGTTCCTTTTCATTTATATTTAGCCCTAAATCAAGTATATTCTCCTCATAATTTAAAATTATGACGAATGATAAGATAAGAAGTATTAATAACTAGCTATATCGTCAGATGATAACCTAATATTTATATTCATTTATATAATTTACTAATAAAATCTACCATTAAATTAAGACCTGATGACTAAAAAATTTTAATTCCTATTTCTTCTCTCTCAGGGACCTTACATTTATTTTAAATTTGTCAATCAATTTGAAAGATACTCATTTCTACTTGTAATTCGCTTCGGAATCTGGTAATTAACTTATAAGTGGACGATACTTAGTAATATATTTCATTATTTATGTGTATAAGATTTACATATATTATTAAGGTTGGTACTTATTTAAAGCTTACTAATTCATCTCCCCGAACAATATTCTTCTCAATTCATGATTCCCTACTTATTTTGCATAGCTTAAAAAGGAATATATATGAATATATAGAAAACTAATTTTATTCTATAAATAAGAGTCTATCTTCTTGGAATTATCATTTGTTAATCATAATAAATAAAACCTTTTTTCGTCATTCCCTTCTGATTATTTGTATATCTGACGCAAGTACGATATCTATTATATATAATCGCCTTAATTAAGAAATAAACGTTTTCGTATAACCTTAATGTTAATTTTTATTTTTATATTAACTTTCCTATTATCTTAATATTAATTTTTATTTTTGTTATCAACTTTCCTATCATCTTAATGTGGGGACTATATACCTCTAATGTTAAATTATTTTTTTTTAAAGAAACTTTCTTAAAATTTTTTTTATACATCAATGAGATTCGAACCACTGACTTCGGCAAACGTTCTTTCCAGTCACCCCCCCCCCCCTTCTATATTAAATTTGCAATACAATTCTTCTTATATATTATATATAAACTATTTTATGATATAATAATGTAATTATATCAATACTTTTTTTACTGGAAGCCACGGCTTGGGATAACAATTTCAAAATTATTGTCGGTTGGCCAGGTTTGAGAAAATATTTTAAAAAATTATAATAGGTCGACTACAATTGGAAAATATTATTTGAATTATATTGGGCTACGCTTAGGGAAAATTTTGTTTGGAGACTTGGAAATTTTTATTATTAACTATGGATCAGATATTTTCCTAAAACAATTAAACCAAGGCCCATAAAATCTGATTTTGATTGTATTTTTAAATTCATTATGATTTTTTAATTATTTTATTCCAGTTCTCAACAACTACTAAAATTATTATGATCTTTAGGTGGGGTTGAGGAAATTTTTCCAAAGTTATTATGGCCTTGGACCTTGCTTGAGAATTTTTTCAATATTGTAACAACTATCATAAGAGAAAGGAGAAAATTCTCATTTCCAGTCATTTTTGACAGACTCAGCAATGCTAACTAACGGGAGCTCTGGTACTCTTAGTTATATATTTCATTTTACCCTTCAAAAAAGACGGATCATCATAATTTTCTCCCTTATTCGATGATAGATTAATTAGAAATTAAGAATATCTTATGAGGTGTGATTCACAAATTTACCACTTTTTCGCCTAAATTTTAATATTTTTATAAAATATATAAATAAATGATATTTAGTACCATCACAAATTAATTACCACACAACCCAGTCATTCTTGACGAGTTATTAACTAGTATAATATAGTACTCTATTTTTATTATTTTATAAATTTCTATCTTCCCCAAAAAACCAAGGCTCATGAAAATCTGATTTTTATTGTATTTTTAAATTCATTATGATTATTTAAATGTTTTATTTAAGTTCTCAACTATCAAAATTATTATGATCTTTCATTCAGCTTGGATGAATTTTTCAAAATTATTATGACTTTGTACTTTACCTGGGAATTTTTTTAAATATTAAATATTATGTATAAAATGATCAGTAAATTTGACATATTGGTATTATCTAATAAAAGCTTTAAATTTATTCTTACTCAAACCATAGTATTTAGTCTTAGTTTTAATGGATTGAACCTGACCTGAAGGGGGAGGAGGTAAAAAGAATAAAATTGGATATTTTTCAAATAACAGGTAACATCTAGCATAAATATAAGAAGAAAATTCTCATTCCCAGTCATTTTTTGGCCGGCTATCTACTAGTTTATATAAATTTCTATCTTCCCAATATGTAGCTCCAAATAGATCTTCTCGAATAATATTAATCTCTATACTTGATATAATAATTATTTCGTAAAATGTTAATAAAAAATATGTATAATTTTTAATTTATAATTTAAAAAAATGTTATTAATTAATATTTTTTATTTTTTATTTCTAATTATTCCATCTTTACTTCTCCTAAAAACGTTAAAACTTAAAATATATTCATTCCATGTCAATATATAATGTTTATAAATTTTTTTTGGGGATTTACAACTATATCTGATTCATCTCTTACTTGTAGAGCTGTAAAGTAATGTCGATAAAAGTAACGTCATTACTAATATGTTACCTTTTTTGAGTATAAGAACGCCATTTGATTGTTTTTAAAGATAACAACTAAGGAGTAAGGAATTTGAATAATGGTAATGCAAAAATTTATTCGTTAATTATTTAAATTATTTCTTAAAAATAATGTATTTTTTTCTAAGTTTTAAAATAATTTAAGCAGAATTTTTGATTCAATCATAAAATATTAAAACAGTATATAAAATATATATAAAATTACTAAATAAAAGTAAATTTATAAATATATTATAAGTATCGAAGGCGCTAAAAAGAGCTAATTCAATAATGAATATGTACCTAAAAAAACAAGTATAATTATGTTTAAAAATTTATAGTTAAAGTTTTTTTTAAGAAATATGGATTCGCGATTTTGTTTGTTATTTTAAAAAGCGATAAAATTTTTAGAAAAAAATATGTAGACTGGGAAATATTGCCGTTAGTTGATATGACTATTGGCTGAAATATAAAATTATTGAGTTTTGAATATTTATTAATCTTTTTATCTTTCCCGCTAGCAAGTGGGTTTGAATTAATTTCTGAAGGAAAGGAGTCGATCAACTACCAAAGTTCATCATTTTTATTTATTTATTATATTTTCATTGTTAGATTTTATTCGTTTTTTATTTTATTTTTTTTAATCATCTTTATTTGTATAATTTATTTAAAATAAAAATAAAATATTTTAAAGAATATATATTATAATTAACTAAAATATTGACTATTTGCATACCAAGGAGTTGGTTATGTCAAAATATTTCTAGTTTAATTTTTCATCGGATAAAGGAATTTCCAAGCCTCATTGCTATGGTGAAATGTCTTATTTTTGAGAATTAGGAGTATTCAAATTTTTAATTTTTAGGCGAAAAGTGGTCGTTTGTGAAGATGACCATTGGGGCAAATATAAAATTGTTGAGATCTTTGTTTTTTTTGTTTTCTTTATTCGGTTTAGGTTAATAAATTTATGTTTATGTTGTAGGGAAGTGATGAGGCATAAATTAGGTCCCAATCAATAGTAGTAATTCCGTCAGGTCTTAATCCATCTATGTGGGGGGGGGGGGTTCAAGATTGCTTGGTATGTGAGCGGTTATCAAACATTTATTTATGACATGATTTATTGAAGTGTGACGTTGACATCTCCCTTGACTACTCAAACAATTAGGTCATATCTGCCTTTCGAATCTATTATTAGCCCGATTTTCAACGAATTTTTTGAATTTGTACTGAATTTTAATCTGGAAATTAATGTTTGCAAAGAAAGATAAAGGATGGAATATATGCAACAATTTTGGAATGTATAGATTCAAAAATTAGATTAAATCTTATATTGTTGATAATTCAGCTGGTATTTCTTTTCAAAATTATCTTACAATTTAATTTTAACAGGTCCTACTTTATCTGACTGAAGGCTTAGCTAAGGCAAAACCTTAAAAATAATTATATATATGTACTAAAATTTATATATGCGAATGGTGGTTGGAGTGATTCAAAAGGGTATATGAAACAACCAGTAATCCTGTTTTAGTTGTCTTGGGTTAATCAAGCTTTCTTCTATAATTTAAAAAAATTAAGATTGGAAGCCAGAATAAATTAATAATATCGGAAGGAATATAGGAGAACAGGCGAGAAATTATTTAGCTGCTGTATTTTATTAGTTTTAGAATTTATGGAGTTAAAATAATTATATTCGGGTAACATTTCATTTAAGTGTATTTTCAAGCAAGCAATAGTGATTGACGATATTTCAATAT